AGGGAGAGAAGGCCTGTTCCTCCTGCCGGGACCTTGCTCCTGGAGGGCGTGGGAAGCAGCAGGTGGAGAAAGCGTCACCGGGAAGTCAGAAAGCAGATGGTTTTAAGGCTCGGCGCTGACTTAGCTGTACTGAAGATCAAGGCTGAGCTGCAAAGGGGTCCCTCTCCCAGGGGCAGCCACACACCGTCCCACGCCCGCCTGCAACAAGGCCAGGCCATTCCTCCTGGGCCCGCCCATCCGGCAGCGAACTGGCCTGGCAGCCACTACCCCGGACCTCCCCCGCCGCGGGGGACCTGGGGCTCCCCGCCTCTCAGCACACACGGGAGGGTCAGAGAAGGGAGTCCTTATGGAGCGCCGTCACAGCTGGCCCCCAACCAGCAGCCACCGATCACGTGCCTCTAGCTCACTGGGCAAGTTCTAGTTCTTCAAAACCGGGATTCGGGAGGAACGCCAGCAGCCCACCCACCATTCCCGGGACCCTCCCTCATGATTTGAAACCACTCCGACGAGGCTCTGGGGTGTCTGGACGCAGCTCGTAACCACTCCTGGGGCGACGAGCCGAGGAGGGGACACCGGCATGGAGGGAGTTGGACCTGCTGACCGCTCAGGTGCCCCGCAGCCCCGAGGCCTCAAATCCACGAAGGCACCCTCTGCTCCTCACCTCGGGGCCGGCATTCCCGTTTCCTCAGGCTTCCGAAAGGAGAGAGGAGGCCAGCTCGCTGGCCCTCTGCTCCTCACCTCGGGGCCGGCATTCCTGTTTCCTCAGGCTTCCGCAAGGAGAGAGGAGGCCAGCTCGCTGGAAGAGAAAGCAGAGCTCTGTTGAGCCAACGTCCCCTCAGCAGCAGCTGTGCCAGGCGCCCGGCTTACAGGAACGAGTAAGAGCCTGTCCTTGTCTTCCCGGGACTCCTGGAGAGCAGCTCCAGCCCGGGAAGGGGAGAGTCCAGCGAAGGAAGGCGAAGGAAGGCACAGGGCGCTGCCAGAACCCCAGACAGGAGCTCCTGACGCTCGCGGCGGGCGGAGAAGGGGACGCTGCAGTTGCGCCTGGGAGGAGGACAGGAGCTTGTCAGGACAAGAGGAACCAGGGCTCCAGGAGCGGGAACCGCACGTGCCCAAGTGTAGAGACCCGCAGAGCGCGTGCGCGCAGCGTGCACGGACAGCACGGGCACCCAGGGCGTTGGGCGACAAGGACGGAGAGCTGGGGCCACTCGAAGGCCCTCCCAGGGCACCAAAGAGGTGTTGGGGCTTAAACAGGAGAGGGCTCGGCAGGGTTTTCAGTCCGGGGTTGATGAGGACAGATGTGCGGTGTGACACGGAACCAATGGCCTGTGGGGCACCCACTGGAGGAGGAGAGACAGGAGGCGTCCCGGCCGGTGGGGAGACTCAGGTGACAGCAGCACCGGCCCTAGGTCATGAGGCCTGAAGTCAGCCAGTAGCAGTGGGGACAGAAAGAGGAGCATTTATTCTCATCGGGCACTTGGGAGGCAGGGACACCGGACTTGGTCACCAAGGAAATGGGAGGGAGGGCTGCCTAAGCAAAGCAAGGAGGAGCAGAGCCAGGTGGGCGGCACTGAGTGGGCTGAGGCCCCGCCCCCCCCGTCCCCCCCACTGGGAGGAAGAGGCCAGGAAACAGCTCTGAAGGGGAAGTTGGCTTTGTTTGGGACATGCCAGGTCCCAGGGGCAACAGGAAACCGAGTGAGACGTTTTCTTCTCACCTCAGAAAAGGTCAGATAACGACTGTCCCTCAGGACTCGGCCAGCAGTCCCAGGGTGGCTTGGACCGGAGGTGGCCTGGGCATTCAGCCCAGAGGTGCAAGACTCAGCCCAGAGGGCCCGCCCTCTCCCCTCCCTCCCCCTCGCCCCTCCCCTCTGACCCCTCCCCCTCCCCTCTCCCCACC